CTGCAGACGTGCAGCGGAGTGCGCGCCTGGTCTAGCGGGGGGGAGGGGGAGGGAGTGTGGGGGAGAGAGAGAAAGGGGGTGGCCAGGGCTTCAGCGGGGCGCTCGCCATGCGGCCCCTCCCACCGCGCCACCTGCCGGGAGGGCTCTGCGCCGCTCCGGTTGGCTGGGAGGGAAGGACACGGGATGCCCTGCCGAGTTTGCTGCAGGGCGCTCCCGTCCTCCACGCCACTGCCCCCTACAGGGCAGGCGGAGCGGCAAACCAAAAAGAAAAAGAAAAAGAAAAAGAAAAAAAAGGGCGTCCGGAATGCTGCCCCTTGGAATCTGCCGCCCCAAGCATGAGCTTGCTCAGTTGGTGCCTGGAGCCGGCCCTGAGCTTTACCTCCCTTCCCCCAAATCCATGTTAATTTAATAATAACCCAGAAAAAGCAAAATTAATTCAGTTGACAGATGAGGCCCGATCCTCTGCTGGGGTAAATCAGTGTCATTCCATGGAAGAAGGTGGAACTATGCTGATTTACACCTCTGAGGATCTGGCCACAAATGACCATTCTTTGAGAAGGGAAGAGTGATGTGGTACTGCTAAGCAGTTTAAAAATACTTAGGAGATTTCTTGCCGGTACCATTGACTGGAAAAAAGCTGATGCTGCTGAAATGGGCTTTACACATGGAATAGAGAATTCAGAAAGAATAATGAAAAAAACCTGGTTACATTTCTAGTCTTCCTTCAACCGAATTATAACACTGCTGCATGGTTAGAGTCTCTCCTCCAAACTATACACATGTGGCCACAGGGTAATGCTAATGAATGGAAAAATATCCCTTGCCTATTCTCACCTGCCATCCATATTTGATCTCCACAGTTGTAACAATCATCCCCTTCCTCATAGCTAAACAAATCTCGTCTAAAAAGCTAATGAAAGCACTGGGTTCTGCTGTACAAGAGCACAAGCCAGATTCTCCTCTTGCACCTCCACTAGAGTTACTCCATTGAAGTCAACAAAGTTATCCCAGTGTGAAACCTGCAGGAATGAGTGGGGCATGGGGCCCTCGGCATCTCAAGACATGCGTAAGTAATGCATAACTGCTCATCTGATGACAAATTCTCAGCAGGCTCAGGTTTCTTACATGTAGCATGCCAGCATCCTAACGGCTGCTAAGATAACAGCTACGTGTGAGACTCAAGAGTCCTGGAGGGTGAATGGATGATTGCTTAGATACATTTCAAGTCTGAATTCTGCAGTGCTGCTGTGTGCACGAGTGAGTGGAGATTCTGTGGCCTGCAATGTGCAGGAGGCCAGACTAGATGATCACGATGGTCCCTTCTCGCCTTAAAGTCTCTGAACCTATGCCTCTAACAACAAAGCCTCCAGACCAGCCCCCGCTCCACCGTGGGAAGAGCGATTTGATGTTGATTAGAGAAAATCCTACTGCTGGAACCAAACCCCTGGGTTTCAAAATGGCGGTTTTCCTGCCTGCCTGAGACACGGGGTGACATTTCTGCAGCAGCACTGCATACATAGAAACAAATTTAGGCATAACCACACTATCCCAGGGTGGCCTGCCCCTTTAAAGACTATGGGTGTGGGGGCCAACCAGCCCTGTTCCAGGAGAGTCCTGTTGGGGCCTGGTAGTTTGCAAGGGGAAGAAGATTGTAGGAATCAGGTGTTCCCCAGGCAAAGGATGAAAGAGTTCAGCCGAGAGAGGAGAGAGCTATAGGAAGCCGGTTAGCTCCCAGAGTAGGCAGATGGCCTGCAGGAGGGTTGCAGAAGCACTTCCTGGAGCAGGGAGACTCTAGCAAGGATGTGCCTGGGCCAGGGGGAAGGACCTGCTTTTGCTGTTGGATTGATGCTGAACTGTTTAAATGAACAGACTCTGGGCACACAATCAACCCTAGCTGGGCTGGGCACACAGACCAGCAGCCTACAAACACTAACTGGGAATCCACAGGAGATTCATACTGAGGGGCCTCGACCAAGGATTCGTCACTGTCTTCTAGTTGACTCATCACTGCTTGTCTGACACAGACAATGACACTTTCTGGACGTGTGTGGAAATTGGCTTTACACACCCTAGTGCATTCTGACTTAACATTTGATCTCGGTGACAGTCAGCTCGGTGCACTAACACTAACCCTGTCAGCGCTTGCCTACATTCTGTCTGATGCTAGCTGAATGCCTTTTCAGACAGGCAGCATCTAAAGGGTTAAGGAGCCAGCTTTTAGAGCCAGACCAGTGCGTGGTTAATCAGAATGGAATCTGGGATAATTGCACCGTTGACAGGGGTCCTTGATCGCTGCTCTTACCAAGTGATGTACAATGACAAATATTTACCCACACTCCAGCAGCACACACTGTTGTAAGCCTTTTCCAGCCCTGCTTTCAGCAGCGAGTGTAAATAAATAGCTATATAAGGGGGAAAGCAGCTTTGGGCAGCTGTCAGCTTTGCCATTTGCAGCATTCTTTGCACAGGAAGGGCTGGAGAATGGGCAGGGAGAGGTAGTAATGTGCCCTGATACTGGAGACTGGACTGGAGCTCCAGAGTGACTGAGGGCTTGTCTAGGCTATAAATGCAGCCACCTCTGGGGAGCCTGGTTACAATAGGGTTATTGCTTATGCTGTTCTTTCTTGCAGTACAGATGGGATCAAAGCACAGGTTATGTGGGGCCTTAAGTGCTACTACACCAGAATCAAGCCACTGTAGCCTCTGGTCTCCTGTACTTACCACATCCATGGGCAACTCACATTAGCCCAGTAGAGCGCTTTGTTCCATGCTAGTGAATTACCCATATCCAGAGGCTGATGAGCCTGCCGGTGGATCTAGGCTGGCAAAGTTGGTCTTTTTGCTCAAGCAGCAGAGGCTTATGCTTTTTAGCTCTGGAGGAGTCTGGTTCAATCCTTGCAGATGACTAGAGCAGGTTCTCACTCCATGGGAATGGGATCAGCTTTCTCAAATGAAGGGAAAGAGCTGTGGCTGTTTCCTATAAATATGAGACAGGAGAATATTTCCTCAGAAAATCTAGATGCAGGTTTTCTTGTAGTTGGGCAGGTAAAAAACCACATCCCTGTGCACAGAGAGGGAATATTACCCACAAGGAAGAAACCTGGCCTGTCATAACACAGTCTGCAGAGCCTTTGATAGATGCATCTACTCCAGCCGCAGTACTGTGCACTACCTATGCTACAGGGGTAATCCGTTAGTGGAATGAGTGTTGCCAGCTCTGTCTTGTGATTTCTAAAAGTCCCAGCACCTGGAAACAGGAGAATGCAGGAGACTCTCAGCTTTCATTTAAAAAAAGTTAAGTTCCTAGCCTTTGTGGAGAAAAGAGTGAAAATGTGACCCGAGTGCAGCCTAAATGCTCAGAAACTAGAAGACAAATAAAAAGAACCCACAATTCTTTTTTATTATTTATTTATTTATTTTAAATCTCATGATTTTGGGGGGCCTGACTCAGGAGTTTGAATGCTTGAGGTTGGTAATACCAAACTAGCAACAGCAGCTCCCCAAAGCACCATGTGTGAGACTACTCTGGGAGATCTGCGAGAGCTCACACCACAGCGGTGTCACCCCATGCCCAGTGCTGCCCCCATCTTTGGCACTAACTACACCCCCCTTTCCCTTGCTTTCCAGACTGTGAGAGCTAAGGTTGTGGTTGGCTCCTGAGCAGGGGCCCATGGGAGGTTCCTTCTCCCTCCATCGGGCACTCACACATGTCTAGGAGCATCCTGGCCAGCTGTCTCAGCTGTTGGTGAGATTCTTAGATGAACACCCTGTAGAGCAGGGGTGGCCAACCTGAGCCTGAGAAGGATCCAGAATTTACCAATGTATATTGTCAAAGAGCCACAGTAATACATCAGCCCCAGTGCTCCCGTCTGCCAGCAGCCCTGTCAGTCAGTGCCTCCAGCCTGACGCAATCAGCTGTTTCGCATGTGCAGGAGGCTGGGGGGGGGGGCACAGAGCGCATGGCAGGCTCGGGGGAAGGGGCAGGGGTCTTGGGGGAAGGGGTGGAGTAGGGGCAGGGCCTGGGGCAGAGCAGGGGGTTGAGCAGTGAGTACACCCTGGCACATTGGAAAGTTAATGTCCATAGCTCCAGCCCCAGAGTCAGCGCCTATGCAAGGAGCCGCATATTAACCTCTAAAGAGCCGCATGTGGCTCCTGAGCCACAGGTTGGCCACCCCTGCTGTAGAGGTATCCTGGTTAGTGCAGGCCCATGGCTTTCAGCAGTTTTCAGCAGGGCCCGGATTTCAGCAGGGCCCAGCACTTCAGCAGTTTCTCATTTCACAACGAGTGGTCAGATCATGTCTACTCCAGCCTGTCAACACCTCCCTCTTCGTTATTCCTTGTTCTCTCGCTGGGTGCTGGGCCGGCTCAGCATTCCCTTCCCAGTGCTGCCTCCTCTACGGCCAGAGGATGCGCCTCTCTGACTGTCCATTCTGAACTAGAGTCATTTATAAGGCAAACCACCGGTGACTTTGCTGAAGCAGAACCCGGCTGACTTCACATTCAGGCCTCAAGACCTGTCACAATGAGGTGTGGGGCTAACATCAGCCCTTGCTGCCATGTCTGCTGGAAAATGGTTGCTTGTATGACACAACCCTGGAGGCTATGGGCAGCAGGGATTGAACCCTAAACTTCTGGAGTTAAAAGCATAAGTCTTTGCTGCTGGAGTTAAGGAGCCAAGACACCCCACCCACAGCTGGGTTGTAGCTGACTCATAAACTGCTACCCAAGGACTAGTCACTAGAGGGTGACAGAGCCATGTTGTGTAAGCGTGAGGTACATAGTCCTACTTAATTTAATCTTACTCTATGAGAAACCTGTTGCTGGGATTTGCTGAGTCAGGCATGCTCCTTCCACTTGCACAATATCTCCAAGCTCCTCATGGCTAGTACTAGCATTAAAAGATTGTGTGTGTGTGTGTGTGTGTTTGTTTACAATGGGGTTTTATCAAAACCAAATTTTTTCACAAGCAAGTTTAGTTTTGGAGGAAAATATTCAGGTTCTTGGATTTTTGCTGAAAACCTGTAATGATTCTCCAGGGAAAAAATCCTTTCCTAACCAAACTAGTCATTTCCTAGGCCCTCCCACCATGCGTGGCAGATTTCTGTCTTGCATCGTGCACTGTGGACTTTGACATTGGCTTCATATTTCAGCACTAGGAAGCGTTCGGGGCACAAATGGCTTCTCCTCATCCCTCAGATGGACTCCATCAGTTCCAGCATGGAATTCTCAAAGACCCTCAGTGCTTCAGAATTGCCCCTTTGGCTGCTCTGCTGTGCCAGATGCGGGCGTTCATGTGTCTGCACTGGAACATTGCTGATAACACAGAGATTGGTAAATATTGTTTTCTGGAGGCTTTGTTCTTGCCATGTCAGCCAGATGCTCCATAGCTGATTATGTCCAGATGTGTGTTCTTTTATCATAATATATTATATAATATATTCTTAAGGAGCACCTATAATAATTGAAAGAGGGGAAAAATGTTTTTCATGGAAGTTTTCTTCTAAACATGGGCACATACTAGGAACTTAGTCAAATAAATTAGGGATTAAAGCTTTGAGTTCATACACTAACCTGATATTTCATCTCTCTCTTTTTTTTCTGTAGCTTCTAAGGCAAGAAGGGACCACTGTGATCATCTAGTCTGACTTCCTGTGTAACACAGGCCATAAAACTTCCCCCAAACGATTCCTGTTTGAACTAGAGCAGATTTTAAGAAAAACCCCATCTTGATTTAAAACTTGCCAGTGAGAGAGAATCCAGCACAATCATTGGTAAGTTGTTCCAATGGTTAATTACCCTCACTGTTAAAAATTTACACATTATTTCTAGTCTGAATTTGTCTAGCTTCCAGCCATTGGATCTTGTTATTCCTCCATTTGCTAGTGAGCCCATTATCAAACATTTGTTCCCCATGTAGGTACGAGCTAACAGAATGTCAGGAATCATTAAGAAAGGGATAGATAATAAGACAGAAAATATCATATTGCTTCTATATAAATCCATGGTACGCCTGCACCTTGAATACAGCATACAGATGTGGTCGCCCCATCTCAAAAAAGATATATTGGAATTGGAGAAGATACAGAAAAGGGCAACAAAAATGATTAGGGGTATGGAACAGCTTTCATATGAGGAGAGATTAATAAGACTGGGTGGAGATTTGTGGTGGAGGTCTCTGGGTGAGGGTGTGCTGGGCATAAGGGTGGGGCACTGGCAGCGGGGCAGTGTGGTGTGGGCCTGCCCTCAAGGGGAAGGGGCATGCTAGCAGCACAGGGCGGGGCAGGCCAGTGTGCGTCTGGCAGCTGCAGGTTTGTAAAAGTACCCTCCTGCTGGGCTGCGCGGAGCGGGGCTGCTCCCGCCACGCTGTGCCTCATTGCCACTAGCCCGCCCTTCACTCTGGAGACTGACCATCCCGCCCCCCCCCCCTGCACCTTGCCCTATGGGGCCCATAAATATGTTTGGCGCCGGGCCCACAAAAAGTTAATCTGGCCCTGAATACAAGTGTTGTGCAGGACAGACGGTTCCTGAGAAATTAAAGAAATTACTCCTCGCTGTAGACACTCTTGCAGCGAGTAATGTTGACTGCAAATGAGGCTTCAGAGTTCTGAACAACATAATCACGGATAAACGGACTACACTGACCACTCGTCATGTGGCGGATCTACTTTTTATTTCAATCGTTGGCCCTCCCTACACTGAGTGGAATCCTGCTGCATATGTTAAATCATGGTTGAGCAAGGGACGTTGGGCAGCCCATTCACATGAGGGCATGGCACGATGAGGGCATGGCACAATGAGAGCAAGCAAAGCAACCGGAGCAGGCTTACTACGCACCGCTGTGGAAGTGTCTTTGATTTGGTAAGTTGCTGTCATAAATTTGAAAATTACTTTATTGAACTGACTAATTGAATTAGCTATTTGAATGACTATCAATTGATGTAACTAATATTGTAGTTAGGTAGCTATTGAGACCCTAAGGTTTTTGTGTTGATGGTCATGGAACATGGCACAAGAGCCTCCCTTAACCTTTTTTATACACACAAGGGTTAGCTACAATTACAACCCAGGGCCTTTGTTCTCCTTGCTAGCATCCCATCTGGTTAAGCTGCACTTTCTGAAGGGATGTCAGTAGCACTGGGACTGTTTGGCTCTGCACTGCTGCTACTAATTGAGACCTTTGCTTGATAGGCTGAATCTTGCCATCTGTTTGTACAGATATTTCTTATCGGATATGTAAAGGTCATCCTACAGGAGAAACAAACAAAACCTACTCCTTGGCAGTGAACTACTTGAGGGGAGTACAGGTCAAACAAATGAACTGTCCACCTCCTGCATTCCATTTCTTCTAATCATCAAGACAAGCAGCCTCCCTACCAGTATCCACAGAACTGTGATTGGAAGGGACAAATGCAGCTTCTTCTCTGTTACAAATTTGTCCAGTTTCTGCAGTTACTACAGTTTTGGAGGTTTAGGAAGGACATTAGTTTATGACCTGCAAATCTGACCCACCATGCCCCTCCTGGAGATATTAAATCCAATGCTGGTTGGGATTAGTGCTTCCCTGCTGTGGGAACACAACATACCATCTTCCCTCAAATACACAGCAGTTAGGCTTCTGCTCAAGAAACCATTTCAATTTTGTGAGTTATCACCCTATCTCTAATCTTCCCTTCCACTTGAGAAGGAAGATGGAGTTTAGACAACTTTAAGGTAATCTGGAGCCTTCATTGTGACACCCTGACACCCCAATATTGACCACTGTCATGTAATTAGGATATGTTTTGTACAAAGCATGTCTTGTGAGTTATCATTCTAAAAGTCTTGATCTGATAAACATTAATATCTACGTGGATTGTATGTGTTATCGTTGTATGTGAAGTTATGAAGGTTGGCTATGTATGTGTTACTGAAACATGTTGTGAGGTTGAAAACCTCCACAAGCAGCCTTTCAGGTACAACAGTAAAAAGGCCAAACAATGTTAATGGCTTATTGAGGAAATGCACAAAGGACAAGGATTACTCTGGGAACTATGTACAATAGAAACCTCTCAGCGACAGCACTACACAATGGGAACTATATGACACAGCTCTCAGCAAAAGAGCTTTCCAGCAAGTGGGAAGAAGATACAAAAGGAGGAAAATGATAACATGAGGGGACCTCACTCTTTTTGCAACACCACACCTGGAAACACCTGAGGAATACAGACTGAACAAGGGGGAAGTGATGGTCCCAGGCTAAGGGATTGCTAGCCTATGTATGAAAACCTGGGAAAGCCAAAGCAACTTGTGCCTTAAGAATCTGTCAACCTGTTTATCACTCAGGGTGAGAATTTGCTTAAGTATATCCTATCTATCTACTGTGCTAAACTCCATTTGCTGATTTTGTTTATTTACTAAGGTAATCTACTTTGTTCTGTTTGTTCTCTCTTATAACCACTTAAAAGTTACCTTTTTATAGTTAATAAACTTATTTCCTGTTTATTTCAAAATCCAGTTTGTGCAATTCATATCTGGGATGGCAAAAAGATGTGCGTACCTCTCTCCACATTGAGGGAGAGGATGAATTCTTATGAGCTTGTGCTGTGCAGATCTTTCTATACAGTGAAGGCAGAATTATTTTGGGTTCATCTACCCAAAAGGGTGTACACATGAGCACTGGATGAGTCCTCTCCCACAGAGCTGATGTGTGTGTGTGTGTGTGTGTGTGTGTGTGTGTGTGTGTGTGTGTGTGTGTGTGTGTGTGTGTGTGTGTACGCTGCAAGAGGCCAGAGAGCCTAAGTCAGCAAAACAGGGAGAGGGAATCCAGGCTGGTGGAGCAGGAGAGACTCAGTGAACCAACCCATCACAGTGGCACAGCAGCCCAGTGCAAGGGAAACCCAGGCTGGTAGGGACAGCAAGCTCCATGGGACCCTGACACATCCAGTGGTACCCTGAAAGTGGGGTCCAACATGTCACATTCATATTTCCATGATCCTTTGCAGATGGATTTATGAGTTGGATATGGTACAGAGACTGTTCTAGCCTCATTGATTGCTGATTTCTCCCTTACAATGGACAAAGATCAGATGTCTGCTCTGCTGACTTTCTCACATGAGTCAGCAGCCTTTGATACTTGTGGTATAAGCAACATAGCCCTTGCTTGAGTGGTTTTGTTCCTTCCTCTCCAAATGTCAAAGCCTGTTCCCATTGAACTCAATAGCAAAACGCCTTTTGATTTCAATGGGAACAGGATTTGGCCCCAAGAGATCCGAGAATGTGATTTTAATCAATTGCTTATCTGTCCAGAGGCAGTTCTCATGTATGTTCTGCCAGGCTGATTTTGATTGCCCCTCCTCTATGTCATGCTGAGGAAAATAATAAAACAATTTGGGCTGTAGTTCTATCAAAATGCACATGGCACACACAGTTCTCTTTTCCGTCAAACCCAGATGGCGCAGCATCTTGGCTTTTCTAGTGCCTGGCGGAGCGCAATACTTAGATAAAGGCAAGCTGTGAGGCCAGGGCCATCCCTAGCTATTCTGGGGCCCTATGCAGCCCCCCCAAGGGGGGGGGCAGGCCTCCACAGGAGGGAGGGGGCTTGCCCCAGGCCTCTGTGGTGGGGGGCCAGCTTGGGGGGGCAGGGAGGAACTGCCCCCCAGCACTCACCGGTAGCATGGCTGGGGCCGGGTTGCTGCATTTCCCGCCGCTGGTGAGTGCAGGCCCAGCCCTGCTGCAGTCCTCAGGGGAGTGGAGGTGGAGCTGGGGCGGAGCACGGGCAGGAAGAGGCGGAGCAGGGTGGGGGCTTTGGAGTGGGGGTGGAGCAGGGGTGGGAAGAGACACGGCTGGGGCTGGAGCAGCACACAGCTGTGCAGGGCATCAGGAAATTTGGTGCCCCAAATGCAGCTGCGTACTTTGCGTATGGGTAGGGACGGCCCTGTGCGAGGCGCTTAGTTTGGACATAAGGGAGACACTGATAGTGTGTTAAGGGAAAGTGGGGTGATTGTCCTTCCTATCCTTCTTTCATTTAAGAAGTTTTCAATTTGGGGTGCTGATGGATCCTCAATGACACCTGGAAGTAAAGCATCATTTTACAACTGCATCAGTTTAACAGATGCGGTTGTAAAATTTTAGACAGGTAAGGGGGGTGTCAGAGGGGATGGGGAGAGCGTGGGGGTCCTGGGCTGGGGAGGAGTCACATGGAGGGTCATGTGGGGAGATCATGTGCCTCCCTTTGTGTCCCTCCCATGAGTGCAGTACCGGCAAGAAATGATTTCTACTTGCACCACTGCTAAGGGGGAACATGATAGAGGAAGTATTTCTTCACACTATGCATGGTCAACCTGTGGAACTCTTTGCCAGAGGATGTTGTGAAGGCCAAGACTATAACAGGGTTCAATAAAGAACTAGATAAGTTCATGGAGGATAGGTCCATCAATGGCTATTAGCCAGGATGCGCAGGGATGGTGTCCCTAGCCTCTGTTTGCCAGAAGCTGGGAATGGATGACGGGATGGATCACTTGATCACCTGTTCTGTTCATTCCCTCTGGGGCACCTGGCATTGAGCACTGTCGGAAGACAGGATACTGGGCTAGATGGACCTTTGGTGTGACCCAGTATTTCCGTTCTTATAAACTATAATCAAGTAACCCCTTAGACTTCTCTTGGTTAAGCTAAATAAACGGAGCTCCTAGAGCCTCTCAGAGGCATGTTTTCCAATCTCTTTCTCAGAGACCCACTTAGGGTCTATCAGCACTGCAGCAAACATCACATTGAGGGACCCAATGACAATACAGTTGGCACCCAATACAGTTATCCCATGGTTTGCTTCATCAGCTCAGTTCTTGTCCATGACCCTTAGGCATTTCTTGTGCATCTGTCAGACAACAGCCCAGTGAGCAACACAAAGGACTCCTTGATCCATGTCCTTTGTCTCAACAATCCCAAACTAACTCCAGTTTCATGCAGAGGCAAATTCAACCTGTGCAAATATCAGCGTTCCTTGTCTTGTAGGGATTTGCATTGCTTCAGAGGCTCCTCTTGCAGGCCACCAATGGCTGAGTCCCAACTTTAGATGAGGCCTCATGTATGTTCCCTATTAGTCAGTGACCAAGGCCTTCAGAAGTGACTTTTGGGCCCACTATTTGAGACATCTTAAAGGCGCCTGTTTCCAAAGGCTCCCTTTGTCCAGTTACCAGCCCAGCCTCGCTTGGGGCACACTGAAGCAGGGAGCCAGGCTCTCAGCCTGAGTAGACAGATTTGTGTTGGTGGGGCTCGTGCGAACATGCTAAAAATATTGGTGTGGATGCTGTGGCGCCGGCAGAGTCTTGAGCTAGCCACTGGAGCTCGGACCCAGGGGCTAGATGGGCTTGGCTGGCTAGTCTGAATTTCTCCTAGTGTTGCAACAGCCACACAGCTATTTTTAGCACACTAGCATGAGCCCCGCTAATACAAATCTGTCTGCCTGGGCTGGGATGCTCAGTTCCAACTGCAGTGTAGACATATGCAATAAATTGCTACATAGCTTGGCTCTTGGTGAACTGTGTGCTTGAGAATATATTCCGGCATGCATTTGGACATAGTTCTTCATTTTTTGTGACTCAGTTTCTCGCTCTATAAAATGGCTACAATATTTCTGAGCCTTGCAACTTTCTAATGTCTGAAAACCACATACCCCTTCTCCGCCTCTTTCCCTGAGGCTCCACCCCTGCCCCGCCTCTTCCCCCAAGGCCTCGCCCCTGCCCCGCCTCAGCCCCTTCTCTCAAAGCCTCACTCCCGCCCTGCCACTTCCCCTGAGACCCCTCCCCTGCCCTGCCCCTTTCCCCAAGGCCTTGCCCCGCTCCGTCTCTTCCCTTGAGGTCCTGCCCCTGCTCACTCCTCTCTTTCCTCCCCCCCCATTGCTCGCTGCTCTCCCCCCCCTTCCTTGTCACTTGATCCTCTTCACCTCTCTCCCCTCCCGCCCCACCAGTTGGGCTTCCTCAGCTCCGGGAACTGCAGCTTGATGTGGAGTCTGCCTTTCTGCCCATGAGATGCAGGTAGGAGGAAGGGTCCAGAGAAGAGCAACAAGAATGATT